AAAGTATAAAAAGTATAAATATATAAAAGTATAAAAAGTATAAAAGTATAAAAGTATAAAATAGAAAAAGTATAAAAGTATAAAAAGTATAAGAACACAAAGTAAAAAGTATAAAAAGTATAAAAATATAGGAGTACAAGGTAGAAAAAGTATAAAAAGTATAGGAGTACGAAGTAAAAGTATACGAATACTATAATTAATAATAAAGAAATTGTGAAACACTCTAAGTTCTTTACATGATTTTCATAATTTCATGAAATATTACGAATTATGGAATTAATAAATTTTATAGCATAATTGTAACAGTATAAAGAAAATATGAGAGATAAAAAGATATTTTTATTTTTAGTTATAATATGTCAAGTTAAGACTCAAATAGTATCTCTATTTATATATTTTTTGAAAATATAAAAAGTAAACTAAATAGTTAAAAGTAAAATAAATAATTATATAAAAGTAAAATAATGAAAAAATAAAATAACTAAAAAGTGAAATAATATATATAAAAGTAAAAAATCAAAAAAGTAAAATAATTAAAAAAGTAAAATAATATATATAAAAGTAAAAAATTGAAAAAATGAAATAATTAAAAAGTAAAATAATAAAAAAGTGAAATAATGAAAAAGTGAAATAATTAAAAAATGAAATAATATTAGAGAATTTTACTATTATATGAGTATTTGTATTTTTAATTATTTTTGGAATTTGTGATATTTATATTATTATTATAATAGTATATTGTTATATATATTTAATAAAAATATATTTTAAATTTTATAAAAATTAAATAATAGTGACAATCAGAAATAATGGAATAACTTTAAATTTATTAATTAAATACAGTCAAACTTTTCTATAATCATCACTTTCAGAAAAGCAAAATTTGATAATTATAGAGAGAATGTGATTATAAAGAGATTTTATATATAAATATGAAAGCAAAATAGGATGATTATAGAGAGATATGACTATAATCAGATGTGATTATAAAGAGATTTAACTGTATAACAAAATGTAAATTTTTCTTTTTATATAAAAGTTTTCAATTTATTAATAAATATTTTTTATTTTTACATTAAAATAAAAATAATATCATATATTTAATATATATTTTTTTTAGATTTTTTAGATTTAATCTAATAAAACTATTTAATTATATATTATTATAATTATATTATAAAAATTATTAATTCTATAATTTGTAATATCTTATAAAATTACAAAAATTATGTAAAGAATATACAATATTTTATAATTATATATTATTAATTATTATTTTTATATATCTCTATTCTTTTTACTCTTATATTTTTATATTTTATACTTTTTATAATTTTATATATTTGTACTCATATACTTTTTATATCTTTTATAATTTTATATGTTTATACTCTTAATTTTTATACCTTTTATACTTTTATACATTTGTACTCATATACTTTTTATATTTTTTATACTTTTATACTTATTTATTCTGAGTAAATATAACTTAACCAATCAAAATTCTTCAAGATTTATACTTTTTCTCCTTTATCTTTTTACTTTTCATATTTAGTAAATTGGAATTTTATTTTTAGTTAGCATTCTTATTTTTAATATTATATTTGTTTTTTCTAGTTTGTAAAAATATAAATATAATTATATCTTATAAAAAAAGTATCTAATTTTAAAGTTCAATTAGCTTAATCAACAAAGAATTTATAACATTTGAACTGATAATTCTGAAAAAGACTGTTAATAGCTATTATAATTATTTGTTATTTTATATTTGTAATATGAATTAAAACTTCTTAATATTGCTCTTATTTTGATATTAAATTTTGCTTATAAACTATATATACTATATAATAATAATTAGTAAAAAATTCTATAAATATTATTATATTGAAATTTATTACAAAAATCATTTAACTATAAAAATAAATTCTATATACATTAATATTGATTTGTAGTTTCTAAAAATTCACAATTCAGCAAAAATCTATAATACTAATTCAGAATTCAGCAATATTTTGCAAATTATATTTGTAATTCTGTGTTTGATTATCTATTAAGATATAATATACATGTATTCAATAATTTAAGTGAATTTCTATTTTATTATTTATTCACTGTTAATTGCAAAAAAGTAAATTGTTATTACATGTACATTTTTGCTTCTAAATTGTGTGCACTATCAATACCAGAATATCAAGTAAAAATTATTACTGTTATGAATCTGGAACAACAATACGTAGTAATAATATATTATAATACTGGTGAAATGCTTACAAATATCTTGAAAGGAGAGAACATTGCAAAATTCACAATATCGATATAATTGAATAAAAAAGATTATCAATGAATAACGATAACGATAATTCTTCTAAACATGATGCTTGGTCCGAACAATAGCCTGTGTAGATCCAAAATTGTATATTAAAAAAAAGATTCTTTTTGCCTAGGAATAAAACGAACATTATAAGGCTTGATCCATTGCACAATTCCAATATAATCAAATTTCGTCAAATCAATCGGTTCCGGCTCTGTAGGAGGACGCTCGATTTTGAAAGCCCAGAATATAGAAGCAATGAATAACTCGAGTTCTACTTCGGCCTAATTAAAAAAACGAACATAATTTAAAATATATAATTTATCCAGAAATGATTAATATATATAGTTTACCAAACGAATGCCAAGACAAAGCCGTCGTCCGGCTCCAAAAGAAAAATGATCTCGATTTTCAACATTTCCTTGCGCCAATGCGGCCGAACTTTCTTTCATGTCTAAATACCGCTCCGGGTCAAATTTACTCGGGTTCGAAAATCTGGCTGGGTTCCAATTTAACGCGTACATATTCATCAGCAATAAGCTATTTTTAGGAATATGGTAACCCATGTAGTCGTCGTCCTCCTCAATAACGTGGGGAGGTCCCAGAATTATCTAATAAAAAATAATGGAGAAATTGATTAATTTTGAACCTGAATTTTCTTTGTTCTTTTTTTGTTTTATATGTACCGGAGGAGCCCACCGTAAAACTTCTTTGACCATTGCACGAATGTAAGGAAGAGATGTCAAGTCATCGTAAGTAGGAAGACGAGAATGCCCGACAATGCGATCAAGTTCGTCATGTGCTCGAGCTTGAATTTCTGGATCATTAGTTACAATAGCTATAAGGGAAGTCATTGCAGATGCACTTGTTTCCTAATCACATGTAATTAATAAAAAAATTGAAAATACTTGAAGTATTCAAATTATAAATAATATTAAAAAAACATACCGTTCCTGCAACCACCAAATCAAGTACCAGATGAATGAGTTCCATTTCAGTAATAACACCTTCATCAACTTTTGCCAATAAATCTTTAGCAAAACATGAAGAAACATATTCCTGCTTCTTTCCATCCTCGTATTTATTAATCTTAACCTTCTCTAACAACATTCCCAACACCGATTCCCATTCGTCTCGTAGATCAATAGCATTCTTATGTAACCACCGATTTTTTAAGATAGTTCTTGAAATCGGCAAAGCATCAAAAATTCTCGCTTGCACGTGTGTAAGAGCAAAAGTCCTTTCAATTAGATCAAGAAACTGGAAGTGCAGTGGATCGGTCATTCCTTTTGTCTTTGAGTTAAAGACAACGTTCAGGATTACGTTAAGTGTTGTATATTGAAAATGTCTGCTGGGAAAAATTTCATTTGAATCCTCAGCTAGGATTTTCAGCAGTTCGTCGCGACATTCGTAGATTAAATCCATGTAGGTTTCTATTTTTCGTTGGTTAAATACTCCGTGTGCTTTTTATTTGTTAATATGAGGAGGTAGTTGAATTAAGAAGGTGAGATTGTTTTAATATTTCTGCTGGGAATTGATAATTACCTAATGGCATCATTTTTTTGAACCATTTATGATAAGGTGCCGCAATATAATCTTGCTTACGTCCCACCACTTCCCAGGATATGAAACTTTGTGGTCTAGATGAATATTTTGCGCCTCCTATTGGATTTTTTTATCATGTTAATTGAAGTAGCTCACCTATAAAGAAAAATTGGAGAGATTACAATGTAAAATATACTTTTTTGAAATAATTCACCGACGTGTTTCTCGTTATTCAAAATGATTATCGATAATTTTCCAACGCGGAGCATAAAGATGTTCCCAAGAGTTTTTTGCCATTCTAAGCACCTTTAAAATAAGAACACATGTATTAGAATAAAAAGAAAGATTATATCTCTGGTTTGTAAATAATTTTAAAAAACCTTAGATGAAATCCAGGACCAATCAATAATGCATGTCCTAAAAACGAAGAGTTCAAATTGACATGTTAATGATAAATCGATCACATATACAGTGAACGCTCGTTACAGTAACAAACACTCTTTAAGATAACATCTCGTTATAATATCTTCCCCGAGCACGTTATTGTATCCAGCGCTCACTGTACAGTCAAAGTTCTTTACAACGGCCGCATTGGATTGACACTTTTGGGCCGGTATATAGTGCTTATATTATAAACTTCCGAGTTTTCAATAGTTAAAAATCGTAAAATTGGGATATCATTACGGTATAAGCCGAATGCGATGTACACAGCGCCGCCGTCGCCGTTGTAAAATGAAGCATTATAAATAATAAAATACCAATTAATAGCCTTTTTCCCGGTAATTCGGGAAGCGGCATCAGCCCTTTCGGACAGCTCTTTTGCGTTGCTAATTTCTTGCAGCAAAAAAATACGCCTAATAATAGTAATAATACATGTGGAATGTAAGAGATCATTTTTGATGAAAATGTATCGGTATCTACAGCTATTGCTGCTGTAATTTAAACCATCATTACTTGCAGATCACAATCGTGCACCTAATTAGGATATCAATTAAACGCGATCACCAATTAAAATAGGCAAACACAAAAATTGAACTATTCGAAGTTTGAAAAATTCGATTTACTTTTACAGTTTTAATTACTGCTTCATCGTATCCGTCTTCAATTTATCGAATGCGCTTTTTTATCTCAGAATATCTAATTTCTGGTTTAGAATATGTTCCCGATAGGCTCTCGTTTTTACATTGGAATAAGACCAGAAAAATTTTGCACAAGTACTAACACAAAATGCAAACTTTAAATCAAATATAAATGGTTCTTTACTACAGTTCCGGCGTAAAGTAACGGTGGTCGGTTTTTAAAAATTATTCAAAAAATTTGATTTTTGAGATGTTTGTAAGTAGGGCATTATGCTCTTGAAAACCCAATATATGATAAGTTCTCCTTCTCTGCTAGAATATTATAAGGCTGTTTGAAATTGAATAATAGTTTGACGCCCTTTTTTTGAAAAACTAACAAACATGAAAAATAAATTTTCCTATTGTTTTCCAAGCAGCAGACATTTTTTCTGAAATTCATTATCGTTCACGAAAATCTGGTCAGATAATATCAGACTTGGTGTTTTACTTTCTCGAAGAACTGTTACATGAAAATATCATTGTAGATTGGAAACCCAATTCTTGACTAGTAAAATATAAAGCACTTTGTTTGCCTCGATTTTTTTTTTTTTAGAAAAATCTATAAAAATAAAAATCACCATCCTGACTTAAAATGCTGTGCTACAATGCTAAATTTTAATTGGATGAAAATTGACACGTGATATTTAATTCTGTTTGTTTAATGTTCGGGAGGACGTTAAACAATCAATCAATTTCAAACAGCCTAAGTGCTATATCTGGCAATATAGTTTGAATTTTTCTTAACGTTAATAAGCGAAAATTTGTTGATTTAATGATTAACTCTTCCAAATCGGGATATGAACATAAGTTCTTAGATGCCAGAGATAGATTTTAGGAGAAGAAATTCTTATGCCGTTCTTTTCTTAAAAGAGGCTAACTATATGTTAATTTTCCACTGGAACTATAAATATAATTTAATTCCAATTTCGATTTCATATGTACACTGAAAATTTATCCAAATAAATTTTTTTTTGTATGTTTTGATTAAAATCACTAAAGATAAAAAATAATTTAACGAGACTATCAAAAAAGTATTTTAGCTGAATTATTTATTGAAAAAAAAATAACAGATCTTATGAAAAAAATTTATGAAATACATAGATAGCTGCAATATAATTTGAATCACAAATATTAAGAAGCGAAAAAAGATTTGTAAGTATTAATAGAAGCAGTCTGAAAAACATAAGGAGGCAAAGAGGAAGAAAAATGACCTAAATTATCTGGAGCAGTCACACGATAATTATCAAATTTCTGTATTTTTTCAATAAAGACATCTCTAAAATTTAATTCGACGTTTTCCTTCTGTGTCCCTCTTTCCTTTTCTGCTCTCCTATTGAGTTTTTCTAAAAATTCCGAAATATCAGAAGCATTATCCATTTCTTCCCCATTCTTCAAATTTTCTAAAGCTTTCAAAACTCTAAAAATATTATTCACTTCCTCCTCCTCTTTTAATAAATACCGCGACAAAACTTCATTGAATTTTACCCAATCAGTTTTCCATGTTTTTTCATAAGACATTATAACAGGTTCCAATCCAAACAACTCTACTAAATTACAGTTATAACTTCTATTTGATTTATTTTCCGGATTATCTTCAGGAACACGATACCATAGCGATAAAGAATGCAAAACTGAATACGCATCAAAAATATCAATAAAAAATTCGCATAATTCTGCAGCTACCCGTGGATTGGAAGCTTTCAGTTGTTCTGAATCATCTTCTAATACTTCCAACAACTTACAAAACTCTTCAGAATATAGTAGTTGCCGATAGTATTTTTCTATAAATTCTTTTTTCAACTCTTTTTTCTCGAGTCCCTTACATTCTTCAGTAGATTGAATTGGATTTTTCATGGTGTTGTATATAATGTTCCAGTTGTTCAAGAGCTCAAGTTTTGTTTCGTCTTGGAATATTTTTCGTGTTTTAATTGCAGCTTTTGTAGTTTTGTCAATATCGTCATGACTCTTGTCATAAATGTTTAAAAATTTAACGCGAAAGTCATAAATTGCGGTCATAAGAAAATGCGCGAATATATATTCTTCGCGTGCGAATTTAGATCCGTGTTTTTGATAGTGATCTCTTTTACGTTTCTGTATCATATTAATCGCATCTTCCTTCTAACAAGAAAAATGTTGTCATTCAGTATCTATAATCATACGAATATATACTTTTATATTTCAAATTATGATTTATTTTCTCACCTCTTTTATGAATTCGGCTTTAATTTGATCTTTGAGCGTTAATTCGAAATTTAGGGTCATTTTTTTAATTGTTAACTGATTTACGAATCAATTGTCTTTTTTTTTGACTTTATACTTTTTGTTGCAATATATTCTTGCAAACATATTATTGGATATTATAAGACAATTCAAATAATTCATAATAGCAAGATGCGAAATTTTATTCGTAGATTGACTACAGCGGCAATATCCATAACATCACAATACATTATTGAATTGTGACATTTGAGTATTATGAACCATTATGAATTGTACATGTATTATTATTTTTAATCTTCAACTTTTTTTCACCTGTGATTACTAGCTTGGAATGAAACAACTTTATTGCGCCTCCATTGAATGAATAGCTATGAATTTGGGTGAAATTTCGTTTTTTAAGTGAGGAATAAGCTGTGGGCGGAATTAACATATATCGCCAACTGCCGAATCCGAGCTTGATGAGATAATACTGATTCGATACAATCGTGCATTGTCCAACGTGTATCTACTAAAGATGGCTCAATTAATTGCGACTTGCGGTAACCAATCAGAGAATTGCAATTAATTGCGACAGCCAATCAGAAATTGCGACTAAGTTGCAACCAATTGCGATCCCACCTTTAGTATCTACCCAGCAATCTTCAATTCCATGTTCTGCAGCATAATTGTTCAAAGTTTGCCCCAAGAATGAAAAATCATTTAAATATATTGAGAAAATTAATAAATAAACCAATTATAGTATTACCTGCTAAATGACTCCTTTTAAAGTAGATAACCAATGGTGTCTTGCAAATATCTTTGGTTATCAAATTAATAATATGTGCAATACAACGCACTTAAAATTTGTGGATACATTTCAGAAATACTATTTCGTGCAAGCATATTACAGCAAATTTTTTATGTCCAAATATAAATATATAATATATTCTTTAAGCTCCAAAGATATTCATGTATGGACTACGAAGTTCCAAATTGATTCATTTGAAGTATTTGACCATCCATCACACACTAAAAATTATTTAAGCTTACCTAATGATTTTTTGATACAAAAATTTACAGTTGCAGTTTCTTGAACAAGAGATTGCTTTTCTGCTAGGTGGTTTATAGGCAGGTCAAAGAGTTTTAAAAACTCAATAAAAATGGATTTTCAATGGAATATCACATACGTATAACAAATGCCTTAATCAAAGGTCGATCAATTGATTCTTCATGAAAATCTGAAATTTTTGTTTGATGATTCAGACATTTCAGGTTTCGATGTCAACTACATGTATATATATACGTACTAACGCTAATGTTAGATTAATAGTAAACGACGACAAATTGCTAGGATCAAGCAAGTACGTAACAAAATGACATTATACTGTACTCTAAAAAAAGTAGATTTTCGAGACATAATTACAAATAAACATAAAAGATAATTTAATAAAAGTATAAAATAAAGTCATCGCTATTTTTTCTTCCAATAAAGCGCAGTATTTTTCTTTTGATATTGCCTTATTTTGTTGAGGTTTTTCATCATGAGTCTGTAGTTTTTCTTGCAAGGTACTCGACATCTCTTCGTTCTCTTTGGTTTCGTGTGGTATACTCAAATCGAAATCGCTTGGAACAAACAAACTGACACTTGTCAACCCTGAACATTCGACATGAATTTTAATTAATATGAAATGGAATTGAAATTAATTTTGATGTAAACATTCGACTGGTGTAAACTGCATTGGAGTGGATTGTTTATTCGTACTTATAGGAATGCTCTTTTTTAATTTCATCTCCTTATCAAGTTTATCAAATTTCTGCCATTCTAGTTCAACATAATCTTTTAATTTCTTCATGTGTTTTAGGATATTCTAAAGAGCTGCAGTACTGAAAATGCAAAGTATTCAATTTTGTTGCACCATATTTGATAGAATCGATAAAGTCTCCAAGCTCCTCAGCGATTTATAATCATAAGCATAAAAAAATGTCAATGATTGATGAAATATCAAATCAACCATTATTTTCTCCAAAGCAAAACTTTTGTCAACATTGTACAATAGTTTGCTTTCAATTAAACCAAGTCAATTCTCGGATTTGATCACGAACTTGGAATAAAAGATTGAATTCATAAAATAAGAATCCACAGAGACAGCATCAGCCTTTTCATAAAAAAGCAACAAAGAATCCACTGTCTCTATAAGAGGATCTGATGAAAGTAAAGCAAGCAAATGGTCAAAAAAGCTATGGAATCCGGAGATTTGTTCACAAAAACGAACTAGGACAGCTTTTTGAAAAAATAATAAATGCTAACTGTATGAGAAAGCGGCGAAATCTGAACGGATAGTCAGTCTATATACTTCAGGAGACTTATTCATTTGGTCAGAATATTGAACAGAATCTCGTTTCAGCGTATTATTTCAAGCTTGCCGCTAATCTGGAAATTTAGTATTTAGAACAAGGCAAGAATATATATTCCCGATATAAGAATCGTACAAGTTACCCACGAGATTGTTTTTTAAAAGACTTTAATTTATTTTAGCGGAATATTGCTTAAAAAGAAACTTCAATTGATTTAGTAACAAATTTTATAGTATTATTCAAAATTTACACCTGAAACATCAAATATTACATATGTGTTCTTTATTTCAGGTATACTATATGAACTTCTTTTCTAGCAAACAAGAGGTAGTTACAAATAAAAAGATTTAATGTACACATACAATTGAATTATATTAATATTTAGTAATATGCAAGTTAAAATAAATTTTTGTATAATACATGTATGATTTACTTATTTCTTTTTCCAATCTTTTTCACAACAACATACACATCTGCATTCTTGAACCCAAACACAATAAACCTTGTCCCAAACCCAGCGCATATCAACCTTATTTAACCCTCCTTGGCAGTCCCCACATGTCTTGGGATCTAGAGGACACGCTTTCCAAGGACCAGCAGAAACAGGCTCCATACCCCTTGGACAAAAACAACAGTCCTCTTTCTGTTGACAACATGGCTCCTCCTTTTTTTCTTCACCTTCATAAATTTGAGGTAAGCATTAATAAATTAGCATAGTTAGCAAATTGTAAGTAAATGATTTGTGAAGAATTTGAAGTTTGTTAATTAATGAACTGTGAGAATTAATGAATTATATTAATGTGTATTCACCTGCTGAAACAAATGCGCAAATAACCATAAGAATTAGGCATAAGAAAACGAAATTTTTTGAGATTTTAGCCATCGTTTATAAATTGAATTTTTATGTTTTCAATTTTTTGTGGATTCGATTTCTGAGAAAGGTTCTTTTTATACAAAATTATATATACAAAATCTTCCTTTGTAATTTTATTCTATTTCGACAATGGTTTTTCTAAGTTAAGAATCAATTCATAGTCATGCTTTTTTTTTCAGACAGTATATTTGTATTAACTATGAAATTGACTTCTTGGTAATTACACATCCAGCAATGTAATTGTATTACGCTTTATTCTATCTCGACAATGGTTTTGTTAAGTTAGGGAACACCATTTATCAGTTGATTTTCATTAATCAGAGGTACCCTACCCACCCCCTCCTGATTTAATATTTTAGCTATTAAATAGACTTATAATTATACCTGATAATTGACACACTCCATCCGCCCTCGATAAATGGCTCCCCTTATATGTCGATTCATGGTCATCTTTACTAAATTTTATATTAATTGATAGTCGTAGCTTTACTAAGTTATACGTATGTCAATCATTGCTAAAGTTTATTTTAATCGATAGTCGTAAATACATGTACGTATTACCGTTACATAACGATAATTGACTATGAGCTTGACAAGTTTGCTAGATTTTATAGTTTAAATGTTGGGAACTTTTTAGACATACGTAATTGATATACGGTCAACTCTCACTAAATGCACACCGTTGGGAGACATGAAAATAAAACCTGAAAGCGCATTTAGAAAGTTTGTGCATTGTAGAGAGCATTTTACTTGGTAATATTACTAACTTGGGACTGAACCAAGGTGTGCACCTATAGAATAGAAACATACGTTGTGTGTGCATTTAGAGAGAGTACATTCATAGAGAGTTGACTGTAGTTGGATTAACTATGAGAAGATTATCGAACAAATCTCCAATAAATAAATAAGTTTGTTTTCATATTATTGTGCCAAAAAGTGTCCATAATGCCACTGTACTCTATCTTATTTTTGCATATTATCAAAACACAGTCAGCACGGAAAATAATGACTGCAATTATTTTAAATTTTTATTAATAAACGCCAAATAAATAATTACGTCCGGAATGCACATATAGTAAATCAATACTTGATATGCCCTCCTTCCGTACCAATTAGTGCGTCGCATGAACCGGTCTAATTTTTATATTTATTCAAATACGAAGCACTTTAAATAACAACCTTTTCTTATAGAGCTGCAAAGATGGCTTTTCAATATGCAAATATGTGATATTGCCTACACTGACATAAGAAGATGAATATCCTGACAAAAATTTATATGAAGCTATAATCTAATTTAAAGGTTTAGAATTAAAAATAGGAACTAAGCTAGTGGATAAAACAAAAAAAAACTGTTTGCAATTTCTAAACTGTAACCAATTAAATATATACTATTGGACGGTATGTAAATTTATTCTTATTCCTTGTCATATTCTTTTTAGCATATGTGATCTATTGACAACACTTTCAATTTTCTATAAAAAAGTAAGCTTTGGCTTATCACGAATAACTTTATTTGTCTCTTTTGCAACAGTAAAGCAGAATGTCAAAGACTGGTCCGTCAAGTTTGACAATTCATCTTGGAATAGTATCTGTAAACTTCGTAACTGTCTTAAGAAAATTCGATATGTTAAATATAGAAAAAATATTATTTTTGAAATAGCTATAGAATTCTGTCAGTTCGGAAAGAAGAGTTCATTCTTTATTAAAGGGGATTTAGAGGTAGTTGTGCTATTTCTGTAATATCAGGAACAGTCAAAAAGTAGCTTTAATTACGGGGTCGCTTTAAACAAACTAATTAAGAATTCATCACTCTTAAAGTCATCGTTTTATTATATTGTTCAATGCAGGTCACTTAGTCACCACAATTGCTATGCCATCGGCAAAATTTTCAGTTGTATATCAATACCAAATCAGGTATTAATGGTCACTAATTTTTACTGAACTCAAAAGAGAAATATATAATTGATGATTTCTTGATATAGTTAAAGTACCTGGGTCCAGCATTTTATGGTAGTTATCATTAGCAAATATACGGCTATCAACCAGTCAAAAATATGTAATATTATAGAGTAGTTAATGAACCATCAATTTATGTATTTCAATCATCTGATAGAATTTAAAGCTAATTCACTTTTTGTGTGGTAATGCGCGATTCTTATAAGAAAAATTTTATGTGTGCACTCCACACATAACTTAAATTAATAACGTTCTGACTTCAGAAATTTTGTGTTTTTAGAGACTAAGGTTGTTGATTGGATTATTATCGATATATGTATAAGCAAATACAATTAAACCTCTTTAAGGTTGGGCCAGAAATACAGTTCTTATCTAGAGTTGTTCTTATAAAGATTGACATTAAATCAAGGGTCGATAGCATCT